ATCTAAAAGCAAGATTATATTTCTACGTTCTCGAACCATCTTTCTATTGAATCTTTCTAAATAGTGTTTAAAAATACTTCTTTGCATCCATGCTTTAGTATTCCAATAATAACATACTATATGTATTTATAACTATTACGGGTGCCTGTTTAGAATTAAGCAATGCCAAGGATGCCATTTACATAGCATGTTGTCCTATATTAATAGTTCAAATTATAATAAGTTACTATGTATATAAATATTTTTCTTTAATTCATCATGATTATTATAAATTTCATACAGTACCAGGCTCTGATGTTATTGAAACTATGACAAAGTTGATAAATATGAATGGACAATTAATTATTGCGTAAATTGAATTTTCTTACGTTCATAATAAATAGAATTAATATAAATTTGAATTTTCTTACATTCGTGACCAATAGAATTATTTTCTTATATCTATAATAAATAAATAGAGTTAGTTAATGAATATATATTAATATATATATATATATATATATATAAGAAAATAAATTTGAATTTTCTTGCGTCTTGAAATTAAAACGTTATTGACAATTTGTTTTAGTGTCATCTAATATGTTTCATCTATATGTTCTCTCGTTTTTTCAACTAATATTAATTATAATTATATATTATAAAGCAACAAAAAGTATGGGGTTCAGATTCAATTTCCAAAATTGGAAAAACCCTGATTATGTTGTATAAATGAAAATTTTAGAAAAGTATTATAATTATCCAAAATGCAAAATGACTTTAAATGTTTTAACAAACTTGTTGAATGAATTGGATTATTATGATGTGGAAATCAAGGTTGGAAAAGATGAGAATGTTAAAACTTTCAAAGTTCATTCTAATATTTTGAAAGCAGGATCTTCATATTTTAAAGTAGGATTATCAAATAACTGGGTAAAGAAGTCTGAAGATGGAATTATTTTATTTGAAAAAGAAAATATCTCTCCAAAAATATTTGAAGTTATATTATTGTAAGAATTATATTTATTTAATTTATTATTATTATTAATTTTTTTTTAGTTTAAATAAAAAAAAATCAAATATATCTAAAAAGTAAAAATTTTTTTAAAGGTATATTTATAATGAGGGGATTGTTAATGTTGATAATTTCAACCCAGATGAAATTCTTGAACTACTGGAAGCTTGTGATGAATTAGATTTCATTGAATTAATTGAGGATTTACAAAAACATTTAATCATTAAAAAAGAAAATTGGGTTCAACAGAACTTAATTTATCTTTATGAAATTTCATCAAAATATTCATTTAACTTGCTTCAGGATTATTGTAATGAAAATCCAGAATTATTTTTGGAATCTGATGATTTCACTGATATTGAAAAACCAATGCTTATAACTATATTGGAAAAAGATGATCTTAAGTTAAGAGAAGTTGAAATTTGGGATTATGTTATTCAATGGGGAATTTGGCAAAATAACAAAGAGTTGAGAAAAGATATTAAAGATATTTCAGAGTGGGATGAAGATGATTTTATACAGTTAAAAAATGCATTAGAGAATATTATAATGTTGATTAGATTTGATCAAATATCTTCAGATGATTTTTATAAAAAAATTGAACCATTTAAAAAAATTTTTAATAAAGAATTTTATAAAGAAATTCTTGAATACTATCTTAGTAATGAATGGCAGCCAAAATTGTTACTTCAAAAAGGGCCAAGGAAAGGAAAAAGGAAATTATTAAATTCAGAAATGAAATCCTTAATATCTATTTGGATTGATGAGAAAAATAATATAAATAATGAAGACAATTACTTGCCATACAAATTTGAATTGATTTTTAGCAGTTTTCGAGATGGATTTTCAAGGCTGGCCATTGAGGAGAAATGCTACAACATCGAACAAGCAATTGTTATTATGAAACTTAAAGACACAGGAGAATTAGTTGGGGGATATAATCCAGTTTTCTGGAATTTAAAAGAAAAGTCATTTGATGATGATTATTGGATTCAAACTGATAAAAGTTTTATTTTTAAAATTGAGCAAAATCAAATATGTAATTCTATATTGAGTAGAAGAGTCAAAGAACCTGATAATGATGGTAGTAATAAAATTACCAAATTTTGTGAAAGGTTAATATTAATAGATTTCCTTGATTTAAGCATACGTGTTAGCTCTAAAAATGGGCTTCATTGTTTTTATTATTATTATAATTATGAATATTTTAATAGTTATGAAAAAAATTTAAACCTTAAAAATAGCAACAAGATAATTCATTTGTTAGAAGAATTTGAAGTATATAAATTAATAAAGAATTAGGATAATCTAATATTTATATAAATAAATTTCACTCTTGTGTTTCATGTGATTTGTGTAACTTTAGCTATTCCAAATCTAAAAACCGAATGTTTTTCCTATACTGATAATTTCAATCCAGATGAAATTATTGCACTGCTGGAAATGTGATGAATTAAATTTCACTGAATTAATTGAAAATTTACATTTAATTCATAATGAAAGAATTATTAATGTTATTGTAGTCTATATAAAATTTCATGAGATATAATTGAAGCTTCGAACGGTCCGGTCTTTGAACAGAACCTTTAGGCTAGAAACTACTTGGCAGTCCCTGGTATTTTAATAAACTTATTATGACAACCAACGTATCGGTTGAACGAGTTTTTTCTGGAGGCACAGAATTTATCATTCGAAGGCGTTGTAGTTTAGAACTTGAAGCAATAAAGTTTGCATGTGGTTAAAAAGTTGGCGGAGACGATCAATTTTATATATGAATTGAAAAAAAATAAAACATCATTAGGGTTTTTGATCTGAATAAGTTTATTCGAATTATTTATTTTATTCGTTATGAATTTACGTATTCTAATTACATTGAAAGTTTAGTCGAGTAATTCGAATAAAATGAATAAAACGAGTAAAACTAATAATTCGAATAAAATTGAGTTATATTACGAATAATTCAAATAAGGATCTATATTACGAATAGAATGTTTGAAATTTTTGGGCCAAATATAAACCGAAAACCCGAATCGAATCGTTTGGACATACACGACTGCATTAATAATTAACCTCAATATTATTGTTATTTTGTTTGAAAACCAAATGATTTTCATGAAAAAGATTTGATCTTGGAAGAATTGAAAATATATAAATTATTGAAGAATTAGATATGGATATTTAAAACAATTATAATAATATTTTTTATACCATACAAGCTCGAGAACAATTTAAATCAGAGAAATACTACTACGTATGATATTAATTTCATACTTGCAATGTTTTCACGTTTTTCAAAACGATGTATATGTTTAATTCAGAATTATATAACAAAACTTGGATTATATAATTCAAAACACGAAGGTGCATTTTTATTATGCTATAATATGTGTTAAATTAGGTAATTCTAATCATCGATTGATTTGACCTTTAAGGCTCGTAAATTGTTAAATATATAATAAAATTTTGGGTTTTATAATATTAACTTCTATTTATCTGTCAAACTGTTCTGAATAACGAGTTATTTGGAAGTTCTGTTGCTACCAAAATCACGTTCGAGTCTTTGTGATTCCGATAACAAATCACCCGTAAATAAGTTTCCTGAGCTTCAAGGTGATTTCTTGGGAGTCGATCAATAATCCAAAATGATTATATATAGACCAATTGAAGATGGAATAAATTTTTTTTTTAAATCATAAAGGATCAAAACATTACATTATATAATTTTCTCTGAGTTAAAGAAATAAAAACAAACTTCTCTAAAGTTTCCATGAAATGTACTCTCTTTTTCACTCTTGTCATTGGCATTATCTGTGGCCTAATGGTTAGCGTAGCTTCTGTGTAATTAAATGAAACATAAGTTTTCAAGAGAAAAATATGCAAATTATTGTATATTTTACAGTTTTTCGAATATAGCAGAAAACTTGATAAGTTGTTATTCCCTCTTTCTAATGAATTATGTGTAATAATGTGTATACAGATTCCAGAAACCTTCGTCAGCATATATTTTCATGCATGAACATAGAACTGATCAATATTTTGTCTTACTGTTGTTACTTTATATTTACTTTTTAGACATTTTTGCAATGTATTCACAAACTTGTTGTTGAATTAACTTGGAATTTGTAATTTCTTCAAGTGGTATGGTATAATTGTAGTTCTTGTCGACATTAGAGCTTTTTGACGATAAAAAGTAAGTTTATCTTGAATTTCAAATGATGTTTGTGTAGAGGGGAATTGATCTTTGAAAAATGGAATCAACCATTCTGATTCGAGGTAAAATAGATGTTAGGCCTCTGAAACTTTTTGGGAAAGGCGAAGAAGAGCACCTGCACTAGTAAAAATTATGTCGAGACATTTTCGATCAAGAAATAAATTGGGGAAAGAATGAAAGAGCAGTAAAATTTTTATTTTATAAAAAATAAACGATAAAATAAACATTTCATAGTAAAATAATTTTTTAAATCACTCTTTCCATGGGATAAATAAGTTACTATACAGAGAACGCGTATTTTCACGGCTACACCGTAAAAAATCATTGATATAAATGGTTCCCGTGGAATAACTATTATATACACCTCTTGATGAAGTTCTTTCTTCCATTACAAAGTTCAGGTGTTAAAAAATAAGATGCACTCATCAATTCTATCATAATCCCAAATCTTTTATTACCCGAGTTCAATATAATTTGTATGTTTTTCCAGACCATCTTTATAGTCAGGAATGAATTTACAGGATGTAAATTGGAACCCATAAGTTTACTCGTTCAAACATAACCTTCATGTTTTATTGAGATGTGAGCCTTTCAACAATCAAAATTAAAGATTGTCATTATTTAATATTATTATTTATTTACCTAATGTGAGTGAATCTAACCAACCATGATTTCTTCCAAATTTTGCATGGCTTTATCAAGCTCATTCAAATATCTGTATCTTAAAAGTTTACCATCAACGATATTCTTGCATAATGATATGAATTATTATTTTCTTGACGAGGAAATCTAACCAATCTAAATGCCCAATTTATTGTCTTCAAAATTAAGATATTCTTTACCTCCAAGTCCAAGTGTTAATAACAGTCTAAATTAAGAATGATAATATTAATTAAAAAAAAAATAAAAAATAAAAAATAAAAAATAAAATAAAAGGAATTGGGAAAGGTTACCTGATAATCTTATGTGATGCCATTCCATGATCAATAATTGGAGGGAGAGGAGTCAAATCGGACATATTAGTATATATTTCTTTATCCATTAGCCAGAAAGCAATTGTTTTATCACCTTTAGGTACTGGACGGCATGAACCAAGCATACCAGATACACCTTACATCAAATTTATAATAAATAAGTTTTTTGATATGGAAATAAGGAAGATATAAAATCAACCTTCTGTCATTGTAATAAGATATGTATAAATTTGGCGCAACATATCATTTTCTAATTAAAACAGTACATACTTTTAATATTTTTAAGTTCATAATTACCAGAATCAAATATACAACAGCACCAAAGTATTCATGACAACCTCCAGAGAATCCGGTTCTAGTACCATGATATATGTACATCATGTTGGTAACTATCAAAATCTAAACCCATCAAATTATACTATTCCATAAAAAACCCAAGATTTGATGGCAAAAGTCGAAGCACCTTCCAATGCCCATCATTAAATAAGCAACTATTTATAATAAATAATTTTTTTCTTAATGATATTGATAGCAATATATATATATTTATAAATATTTAGTAATTAATATTAATATTAATCATCATTACCTATCCCAAATCAATGACTTCCTTCTCTTCCTTCTCTTTCTTCATGGAAGTATATAGCAATGATCCGAACCATCGAACATATTCAAGCCACCCAAAACATCTTTGCAAGCATGTGAATGAATTATATCCAAGCAAGTGCACATAGTCAAACCATGCTACTAGCAGTATCAATAAGATATTTTAACTCTTCAGGGGCTCCTGTTAATTAAAATGAAAAATGAAAATTACTATATTTGTCTTTTTTGTAATAACGATGATGATGATGATGATGATAATGATGACAAGTACTATAATGACACATAAAAGCTAGAAACTTGATATCCAAAAGAAACATAATCAATTGAATAGCATTATAACCTAGATCTTTATACGAAGTAAATGCATTCATTATCTGCAAATTCTTTATAAGCCTGATGTTTGATATACGAATTTTTTTATAAATTTAAATAAATATCATAAATTGTTAATATATTAAAAAAAAAAGTCAACATACCATGCGTTTCACAAATTACATACATACTTATCGGGAGAATTCAAAAGACGCCGTCATATATACTCAACTCACAGATAAATCTTGAGTTATGCGTTTAATACAAACTGGTAATCGATAAATCATTTTGTATTGCCAAAAGTACAATTTGCAAAGTTAGATGAACCCCTCTTTGCTGATGGTGGTCGTTTTTGTTTATTAATACTAAAATAAAATATAATTGGTTTACAAGTTTTTTTACATCTTTATCTAGTTAACTATTACAACAATAATAATTATTATTATTATATTTTTCAATAAATAAATTAATAAATTTCTTGATGGATTTAGTGTACTATTTATTTTATAACCAAAATTGATCAAATGACTCAGAATGATTGAATGCTTGGAATGGTTACATTCTTCATTTTTCCCCAAGCCACCTCCTACCTTCATTACTGTTTATATTGTTGATCCATTGTTTTATCGAATAATAGATACATTATTTATAAATTTTTACCTTCCATCTATGGCAAAAGGTTTTAACCACGGATCAGTATGATTTTCTTTGAATAATAGTTTTTCCAAAAGCCATATTTTTCATGATGGATTTTTTTATTTTGAAAATAAATAATAAATTTTTTATCGATTATTATAAAATTAAAAGAATTAGATTTATTGATTATGTATTTTTGGCGCCAAGATCCTTACATATATGCACATAAATAAAGTTACATATTGGTGTTAGCATAACGAAATTTTTTCATAGATTTCAAATGGGTCATGAAATCCTTTACGAGTTATCCAATACAATTCCGTTACATCGAATTCAATTATAGGATCACTTGAAAATTTCGAAGAAAATTTATTTATTGCGTTTTTCGCCGACACCTTTTTATAAATAAAAATTTAACAAAAAAATTTTTTCAAAAATATCATTTATATTTGACTGTTTGCTTACCTCGTCTCTAAATTGACCTAAAGATAAATGTGGTTTAAATCCTTCGTTCCCGATTTTTATTAAATCGTCAAATTCAGGGAAACCGATTTTTATTTCTTCATCAAAACGTTCATCACCATCACCACCGTTTTTAATATTTCTATCGCTTCTACCAATCAGCCTATCTTCCAATTCATTTAATATATTTTCAGGGTGTGTTTCAGGTTCAAGCCAAACTGTAGCACTTTTTTTCCCGTGCATAAAATAATTTAAATTTACAAGTTTGACTTTAAATGGTTTGATTGTCGATGATGCCAGTTGCAAATTATTTAATATATCTTTTGCCAAATTTTTCTCATTATTGTCTGGGAAATTTTGTTTTGGTGATGATGATGATGATGATGACGACGGTGGCGGTAGTAATGGTAAAGTAAAAGGATAAATTAGATTAATGTGTGGCATCCATCTTTTGAAATGTTTATCATGTTTTTGTCTAATTTCTTGAATCTTTGGCCATAAATGTTCTGGAGGAATAACACAAATTGCAGACTTGTAAGATTTTTGCAAGTTCATTGCAAAAGAAATTCTAGGGAGAAAATTATAATGATATATTTATTGTAGTTTAACCTTGTTTCAAAAGAAATCTCGATTTAAACGGATTTCCATACAGCTTAACAAAACCACGTGATTTTCAGCCTATAAAATTGGGTAACGTTATCAATTAATTTAATATTAAAATGTAAAAATGTATTTTTAAAAATACCTCGCACTTGACCAATTTACACAATAATACTATTGTGGCGCTGGACGTTTCTTTAATACTAAGACTCAAACTACTTATGGCGTAATGCTCAGTACTTTTTTTAATTATTGTTATTATTATTATTCTATATTTCTATAACTGGTTCAACAACCATTAGCGCGCCTAAAAATAATCAGAAAATTCGTTAATACTTATCATCCATCATCCGTCCATTTATCAACTCATTCATGTACACCTCACGTAAAAAGCAACAACCACAATTACCATAACTTCTGTCCCGGTCAATTATAATCCATTATTTTCCGTATACACGTGACACTTATATAATCACGCACGTGAAAGGAGGGAGGGCCGAAGCCAAAAAAGGAGAAATATTTGAAAAAGAAAAAAGAATTTTCTTTTTTAATTTTATCGCAGATTTGTTTATTACACAATAATAAATTTTAAATTTGTACAAAAATTAATACAAGTTTTTTTTTGATCTAATTGCAAATCTTGCAAAATGGCTTGGCTAAGCATACTGGGGTTAGATATGTTGTGGTTGTCAGTGATTTGTGATCCAAGAGTTGTTCCTGGTGCGTGTGAATGAGCCAAAAGAAGAATGAGTGAATGAATGAATGAATGAAATGAATGATTGATGAATGAATTAGATAAAGCTTTATACTATTGAGATCTGAAATGTATGCAGTGTAACCATAATAAACAGTATACAATATTGGATAGGAGGAGTAATGGCCCAGACACTCACTCACACTTTTTTCCATTATGTATTATTATTTTATATTATTATTATTACCTTAGTTGTAAGTTTCAGGCGTGAGAATAATAAAAGACGATGACAAACTTCTTGATTTATTAAATGCTCAAAATAGGTAATTTTGTAATCAATGAATCAATGTTAATTCAACAAATTAAATTGTTGCTATTATTCCACAGATAAATCAAATAAAACCATAATTTAAACTAATTGGTATAAATGATTATTAAGCTTAATTAATAAATAATTTTTAATTTGGAATAAATAATCGTGATGATATGGTGGCAGCGAACGGCAGCGGCGACGGCCAACCAACCATCTAATTGTCCATCTATATGTACATCTATCTATGCATCTATTTAACTAACGATTTAATTGACTTTTTTAACTATGTATCGACAACACTTTGTTATTTAATATTGCAGATTTTTTTTTTTATAAGTAATTACTATATTACTATTATGATTTATTTGGTTACCCGCGCACATTCTTTTTTCCTAATTAGGATTTGTCGCATAATCAATAATTTTATCTGATATTGTTTCCGAAATTTGAATTTCATAACTATCCTAAATTTGGTTTTTGCCTTTAAAGAATCTTCTTTTTTTGCTTTTATACTAAAAAAAACTTATAAGGAAAAAAATAAAAAACTGGTTGTTTGGTTGGTTGGGTTGGGTGTGTGTGTGTGTGTGTCTTAGATCACTCGATTTTTATTATTGGTTTTGATTGTAGCCTATTTACGAGTTTGAATGGGTTAGTTTGTGTGAGGAGAGAAAGTGATCAAACATTATGCACATACACACACACACCACGCATGATATTCTGCATATTGTTCGTTTGTCTTTTTTCCTTTATCAGGTTACACCAAGTCAGCTTGTGACACGGAAAAATGTCTATTTTGTAAAATTTGTTCGGAGTTTCCACAAATAAAGTTTCGCTAACTTTAATAAATGTATATATTCTTTCCAGTAAAAAGTAAAGAATTTCTTAACTAAACATTTATTTATTTATAATTCCGAAACAAAGATGTTCTTTGTTCGAAGTTCTTTTATTGTAAACCATAATAATATCTCACTCTCTTTCTTTTTCTCACTCTCTCACATGCTATAATAATAATCATCTCATACTAATACTATTATTGATAATAATGAAACGTAATCAAACGATTTAAAATTCATAAATAATAACAATAATAATAATTATAATTATATATTGAGAGAGGAGAGAATGTATCATTCCACATGGTCATCAACCAATCATTGAAGCAGTATATTAACTTGTAATCAGACAACAAAAATAACAACAAAAATAACAACAACAACAACAACAACAACAACAACAACAATAATAAGCCCTTAGCCACTGTCATCATAACTGCCATTAATAACATAATCACATCGTATTAAAATATTCCTATTTTTGCTTAAGTTTTTTTTTACCTCTCAAAAAAGTATGATGATAATAATAAACAAATAACAATATATTAATTTGTATGTGAATGCACGTATGTGTATGTGTATTATTTATATAATATTTAAATTGTCACAATGAAAAGAAAAAAAAAAAAGAATAGATTGATTATAACATTGATTGCATCGTTTCACGTAGATCAACAAATAAATATGTAACATGTCGTGTAACTTGCATTTTGTGAAACAATCTTATTTTCTTTTTTTTTTTTGATTGATTTGATTTTTTTGGATTTGATTGATTTTGTGATTTATTATTATTATTTATAGATAGTAAGTGTGTGAAAGATGATAAAAGATTTTTTTGCCTGTGCATATTATAATCATCATCATCATAATTTTTTTTTTGTGTACATACGTAATTAAGGTTTAACGAGGGGAAAAGAAAAACTAGTGTCTAGAATAATGCACAAACACGTTTTCATATTTACATGTTAGTCAATCACAATTTATTATTAATTATATCATAATAACATCATCAACTAAAAAGGTTTTTTTGATTTTTTTTTTTTTTTGATATAAAAACTCTTTATTGCCACCACACCAAAATATTCAAATAAAAATAAAAATTTTTTTTTTAAATTTTCAAAGGTTAACTAAATTAATAAAAAAATGAGCAAATTAATAACAAATACGTCATCATCGCCAAGTAACAAAGCAGTAACCGGTGTCAATACCAGTATAGCTAATTCTTCTCCTATCCTCAACAACAACAATAATAATAACAATACCACCGAAAGTAATAATGGTGCCGTCACAACAACTACTACGAACATTAGTACTAGAGGGTACGTATCATTATTTATTAATGATTTACATCAAATCACAATAATATATATAAATAGATCTTTCTTTTTTTTTCCCTAAAAAAAAAAAAAATTTTCCCTTTCATCCGGATCAATTAAAAGTTTTTATAATAATAATAATAATAATAATAATCAAAAAAAACTTTTTTTCCTTCTAGGAGAAGGACTCGTAAAAATAGTAGTAAAAATAACACTGTTAACACGACAACAACAACAAGCGTTAGTGGTGGTGGTATAACGAAAGGAAGAAGAAAATCAACAATGATTTCTCCAAAAATTTCTAAAATTGATATTTCTTCATTATCTAAACAACAACAACAATCACCTTTATTATTATCACAACCAATTAACGAATCATCATTAAAGAAAACAACATCAACCATAACTCCAACTGAATTAATAATAAATCAAGATCAGAATAATCTTCAAGATCAACAAAATAGTAACGGCAGTGATTTATTAATGACTCCAATAACTACTCCAATAACTCCTGTTTCTCTTCCAAATAACAATGGTCCAACATCAACGTCAACAACACCTTTACTAGCCAATGATTCCATTTTCAATAACAAAAGTATTGTTAGTAATGAAAATATCAATAACAACAATGTTAACAACAACAATCATAATAGTTCAACTTTTACCAGTAATAGAAACAGCGAAAGTTTATTATTATCAATATCAGATGAAGTATTTTATAATATATGTAAAAGGTTACCGCCAAACGATCTGTTCGCGCTTGCTTCAGTTTGTAAAAAATTTAAACGACTATTGTCATTTGGTGATTCAAATAATAAAGTCGTCCAAGAGACTTGGATGATTTCACGACAAAGGTTTCTAAAATATCTTCAAATGCCACCACCTGTTGGAATGAATGAAGCCAGTTATATAATTTTAAGACAATTGGATAAAGGTTGTCAATTTTGCCATGAACGTGGATTTGTTAGAATTTATTGGGAGTTTCGCGTTAGGTGTTGTAGCTTTTGTTTAGATAAGAAAACATTGAGGTATATATATATACATAACCGGGAAAAATAATAATAATTACATAATTATGTTATATCTCTCATATTTTTACTAACTGGCTAATTGCTCACATGGTGATATTACTAAACATAGGCATGATCAGCTTTATATCAATTATCTAATTCCAAATGAAGTGTTGGACGTTTTACCATTTATAAATTACGGAGCATCACAAATTTATTGGACCGACGAGGTATTCTCAACATACGAAAGGTATAAAACTATTGTTTGTATTGACGAGCTACAAAAATGGTTGGAAGCAAGATTACAGCGAACTTTGGATATAATGGAAACTGTTCCTTATTATGAACACGAAGAACTTTGTGAACAAATGGCTAGAATCGAACAACAATATCATTATGCTATGCTTAACAATAATAGTCATAAATTATCATTGGATTGTGGTAATAATGGCGATGGTTTAATAAATAGTCAGTCTATGCATCATCTTAATTATCCAAATTACATGAATATGGTTACAGGTAAATTTATTTTATTGGTTGTCAACTCTTATTGTATACAATCAATCAATCAATTAGTTGATTTTCTAGATATATATTTAACATTTATCTTTTTAATTTTTGTAATTCGAAAACAGATCTTTCGTCAGATAATAATTCCTCAATTCCTACACCAAAAATAACACCTGTTTCAACTCCACTCACAACTCCATCACCCAATCCTATGATGATGCATTTTACCGCCAATAATATTACCAACTTCACTATTAATCCACACCAAATTCATCATACTAATCCAACGCAAACACCTAATTCAAATCCTGCTGCTACTGCACCACAAAACTCAGTAATAGTTCCATCACAATTAGAATCACTTTGTTATAACCAACGTCAATCACAAAATAATAATGTCTCTGCAACTACTACTCCTAATGCTATCCTTGAATCAAAAAAACAATTAATATTTAATCAATATTATTCGTCGGCACCTTATCCATATTATAACAATAATCATCAACACAGGAACAATCAATTTATAACAAATCCTTCTTCGTCACTACATCGTCAACATCATTTGCATTTACAACACCAATTGCATTTACAAAATCAAAACCAACATCAATATAACAATACTAATCAAAATCAAAATTCTATGCAAAATCTAAATCGTTATCAACAACAATTACAACTTCAGCACCAATTACAACTTCAACAGTTACAACAACAAAATAATAATGATAATTTATTACAACAACAACAATATCAACAACAACAACACCATCATCATCTAATACAATTACAACAACAACGAGAATATCAATTACAACAACAACAGCAGCAACAACGAGAATATCAATTACAACAATATCATTATCAAATACAACTACAATTACAAAAGCAACAACAATTATCAGAACAAACAGAAGAAGAGCGATCGTCATCTTCATTATTAGCAGCAACAAGAGTAGTAAATAATGACCAACAACAACAAAGATACTTTTTACCGTCATCTTCCACAACAACAAACTCGACTTCTTTACCATATAATATTGTAGATCAACAATTGGCTAGTTCTGCTGCTCATCATCATCGTCATCACCATCATCAATTTCAACAGAAATTTTAATTATAAAATTAAAAAAAGTGAATAATAGTAGTCAATATAGTAGTGCGTGTAACATAGTAGCAGTGTAGCAAATTTTACTTTTTCAATCATAGGGGGGTTTTTTAATATATACATATATATACATATATATATATATATTAATGAATTTGCATTTTTACTTTTAAAAAAAATATTTGTAAATAGCTTTTAATTATAAAACAAACAAAAAACATAAAAACAAAACAAAAATAAAATGTTAAATAAAAAAAAAATTATTTGAGGAGAGAAATTTTGTATATTTTTAATCATGATTTTTTTTTTTACTGTGCACACACATATATATATATAATCCAGCGTGACTGATCATGTGACCAACTAAAAAATATGCAAAACGTTTACAATTAATTTTATATACTTCCAATTCTTCCAACAAAAAAAACTTTCTTGTTCTTATCTTTAAAATCTAAATCTTTTTTTTGTAACTATTAAAGTGTTCATGATCATAACAGCAATAGGTGTCATTATTAACACTGTTACCCATGTCTAAATCACAAAAATATATTAGCCTTTCATGAAACTTTATATCATCTATGGTAAGATTCACAAAATTGTCTATTATGATATATTGCCCTATTAGGATGTTTGATCCTGCTCAATACTGAATTAATTATTTCATCTTGATCAATCTTAAAAATAAAACTTTTATCAGTTTTGATACAATAATCATCATTTGGAGATCGTTCCTCAAATTCCAGCAAACTGGATTGTATCCCCCAACTAACTCTCCCGTCTCTTTAAGTTTCATAATAACAACTATTTGTTTAATGTTGTAGCATTTCTCTTCAATAACTGACCTTGAAGTTCCATCTTCAGAACTGCTAAAAATCAATTCATATTTATTGTTACGTGCAAGTTTCCTCCTATTTCATAATCAGTGTCATTTTCATATTCTGCATCAATCCAGCTAGATATTAAACATTCCATTTCTGGATTTAATAATTTTCCTTTTCTTATTCCGTTTCCTATCCTTGGTCCTTTTTGAGACAATAATTTTGGCTGCCAATCATTACAAAGATGTTGCTGAAGAAACTCGTCATATAAATCTCTATCAAATATTTTCTTGTATGGTTTGATTTTTTTATAAAAATCGTCCGAAGATATTAGGTTGAACCTTACTAATGGAATAACATCATAATTCAAAATTTTTTTCATTGAAATCACCTTTGCTCCACTCCGAAATGGATTTTTCCAATGCCTTACTTTGTCCAACGTCCCATCGTAAAACATGATCCCAAGTTTCAATTTCTTTCAATATCAACAAATCGCTTTCTAATATGGATTTTTTGATGGTTGCAAGGCTATCAGACTTTAAAACCAACTCGGGATTTTTATCGATTAATAATATTAATAATTCATTACAATGAACTTGCAGTATGCCGAGTGCTTCTTGACGCTTCGATGAAAATTTATGAACATGAATTAGATTATTCTGAATCCATTCTTTGCTTTCCACAATTAAATGATTTTGCAAATCTTTAATCAACTCTTTAAAATTTAATTCGTCACAAGCTTCCAATAGTTTAAGAATTTCATCTGGATTGAAATCATCAATATTAAAAGTTCCATTGTAAATGTATCTTTAGAAAAAATAATTTTTTTAAACTTTTTAGATATATTTGGTTTTTTTTGTTTAAGCAAAAAAAAATTTTTTACGTTAAAAGACCTTCAAACACTTTTGGAGAAACATTTTTCTTTTCAAGTAAAATGATCCCATTTTCAGATTTTTTCATGTGATCATCTGACAATACAGTTTTAAAATACAAAGATCTTGTTTTCAAAATGTTGGAATGAGCTTTGAAAGTTTTAACATTCTCCTCATCCCCGACTTTGATTTCTACATCATAATCAGATTCATTCAACAAGTTTGTCAAATTGTTTAAAAGTTTGTTAAAATATTTTAATGTTAAAGCGTCCTTGTTGGATTTGATAAGATTGTTAAAAAAAATATTGATCTTTTCAATTTTTATTAGACATTTTGAAAAATCAAAAAACGTTAAAATTCAAAATTCGCCGATCTTTAAAATGACAGTATCAGGATGGAAATGATTCTCAATGAAGGATTTACGTTATATTTCATTGAAATGCTTTTTAAGAAAAAAAACTTGGCAAAAGCTTTAAATGGTCAGGTCACTGTTTTACAAGTCTGTCGAACACGATTAATACAGCTATTTATTTTTTTGGCGTGTGAGAAATTTTATTTATATATATTACATATCCTTATTTATACTTGAATGGGAAAAAAATTTATGATGATATTATTTTATTAATTTATATTTTATTTATTTTATTTATAATTCGGTTCTGACATTACTAAACAAAGTCGGACCATTGTGTGGTTCTTGAAGCAGAATGAATATGATTAGAGCAAAGCAGAAAATTCGGTTAGATGGAAAATTACATAAAGATTCACTTGATAAATTTAATACTTGGCCAAATGTTTACTCTTTCAGCTGATGTTCTCTTTTGACGCCATCGTCGTTTATCTTCTTTAACTTGATCTCGACAAGGTTTTCAAATAGGCTGTGTATACATTAGAAAAGAAGTTACGCCTATTCTATCAATGATAATAATAGAAATTTTAATATGCAGATCTCAGGATATTCAAAATGCTTTTAATAGTAGTTTTTTTTATTTACAAGTCGTAAAATTAAATATATATTAATATATATCAGTCAGACGACATTTCACGCGATCGACATGTCTATTGTAGAAATTTTATGCAACATGTCGATTTTTACTATATATTAAAAATTGAAGGAACTCACCTAGTACACCCACATGGAGTTTTAACCAGAAAACGTGATATTTTGTACACGCATTCTTTGGGACTTATTTTATTTCCTTGCAAGATTTTAGCTATGGTTTACTAAAAAAACGGAAAAGAATTACTCGTTGAAATTTACGCCTTCAAATTTTTAATCATGTCGTAACAAATTATTTGAACTTGTAATTTCAATAAAACTTAAACAAGAAGCCACCATTTTAATTTTTAGAAATAATTGGGTTGGTGAGGCATGGACAATGGAAACAAGGTCAACTTCTATGATCCACATCTCAAATGTATAATTCCTTAGTAAATAATATAATTCTTTACTAATAAGCTTTGTTTTTAAGGTTGGAATAGCTAATGGTAAATTATTAAAAGAGTTCTTTATCAATAGAAAAATTCACATTATATTTTTTACTTATAAAAGAAAATGCATGATTATATATATATCTTTTAATTCAAGTAGCATAGTGAGTTTTGGAATTGCTATTACTACCACATAAAATATCAACCTTATGTCTAAGAGGCAACAACAATAAAATAAATGAATTGTATTTATTTAATACAAATTAATAAATAATTATATTGTTTATTTATTATATGAGTCAAATATGAGGCACAAATACACATAATCATAAATCAGAGCAGAATGTCATCCTAATAGTGGTATTTTCATTCCAATTGGTTCAATATTTTTATTTATTAGTCAAAATTTAAAAAAATCCAAGTGTTTTAACATGAGCAGTTGATGATTATCAATTTGAATAATGAATCTGATGTTGAGCGCATGTATCAAGTTTAATTAAAATCTCCTATCACAAATATGCAACACATACCCTGTCCCCATAGAACTTTTTCCCACAGGCAAGGCAATTGAACATCTTGGAAGACTTTGGACAAAACTTTCCCTATCTTCCCCTCAGACCAGGCTTGGCATTGATCACTGATAGCTGGTGCTTGTGTGATGATTGCTTTGTGTTATTCACCTCTAAAATAAAGTTGGTGTTAAGACTGATTCAAAATTCTGCAACTTGAGGTTGCAACTTGGGTCGTTGTTTTGGGTTCTGAGTTTTGAGTACTGGGTTGCTGTTTTGTTGGTGGCATGCCCACTTGCCAACAACCCTACCCCATTTAAATAACAAGTTCAGTTGGTCAAAACAACAATTAAAAGAGAAACAGAAAATTTGGGAAAATGATTAATTTATACATAACATACAAATATGAACCATTTTATTTTACAGCTTTCATCTTGATGCCAGTGATAATGGTGACTATCACAATAGGAGTGGACAGAATCAAACTGCCACCTTTATACTTGTGAGATACATGCTCACATTTGAGCTACAATCCTTTATCCTAGGGTGGATTATATGAGCAAATGCCCCATTTAAAAAACATCAAGTTCAGCTGGTCAAATAAAAATCAAAGAGAAACAGAGAATTTATGAAAATGATTAATTTATAACATAACATACCAAACAAAATCAAAACCATTTTATGACTTTTTTCCTGTTGGCAATATTGCTGACAAAGATGTATATAATCATGCAATAATTTTAATCTATTGGACAAAAACCCGTTCAGTCCCCTACCCAAATCATAAATTGGTTAGTATTAGTGTTCCATGTCGCAATCCAAAAAAGGAAACAAAATGGTCGTAAAGGTGGTTGCAACCAGTGGTTGCAATCATTTTTATATGATGCAAAGATGGTAGCAACCATCATCAAAAGTTGCAGCCGGTATCCTTAGTTAGTATCAAAAAAACAGAGAATTTAAGAAAGTGATTATACAAAACAATCATTATTTTGCAACTTCCTTCTTAACATCAGAGCCCAAATACAATTTCAGGGCCTCAACCCTGCTCTAAATTGTGACCTCCTGAGCTTGAAACAAGCTGCAGATTATCTTAATATTCCTCCAGAGTTGTGACATCTTGGTCATAGAGCCATCCTTAACCTAGTGTAGGATTGTTGCAGGCAACTTTTTGGCTAGCATGCCAGCAGTCTTCTCTGGTGAGGGAGGATTAGTGACAATTGATGCAGTCTTGGTAAACTCCAGGGCCATCACTCCCCCTGAAAATTTAGTTGCATTGTTGTATCATTGGAGAGACATGGTCAGATTAGCCTTTGTGTACACGAGGAATGTGAGAGAATGACTGTAAAGTGTTCAAGGCAGTGTGCATGCTTCAACGCCTGCCAATTTCCAATAATCAAACATCACATATTTGAAATGTTACATATTCAACAGTGTACTGCCTTGACATCTTCTTGTAGTTAATTTATAGTAATATTAATAAAGCAAAATGCCAATCGTTTGCTATCTTGACAAGGATCTTATAATTAGCCAGCAAAGATCTGCCTGCATTTTGATTTCAATAATATATATTTATAAACTAAAAGACACATTATATCAATACAAACAAAAAATAGTACCTCTGGTTAGTCTTTTTTAGGAAAACCGCATTTTGTCATCTTGGACTCTGTCAAAAAATAAATTGTTTTCCAAGAAAAAAAAAAATCAATTTACATCTGTCCTCCCCAAAAAAAAACACGTCAACAAAAAAAATTATCAATTTGTACATGCTGATCAAATCAATAATTATCTTTTTTTTTAAAAGAATATAAAAATATGAACAACAGCCAGCAGGATAGAAGAAAAAGAAATAAAGAAAACAAATGGGAAGATATCACTGGGTGAGTGTTTATCATAAGAATGGAGGTTGTCACCACTCATTGTCACTCTAGTTAACATAATAAAAAATTCTTTTTTTTATTTCTAAAAATGCTACCAAAAAGCAGGGATAAGAAATGATACCAAGCAACCAAATGGGATGATGTTGGTAGGTAAGTGTTTATTATAAGAATGGTGGTGGTTATCGCCACCTGTCATCACTCTAAATAGCAATTCATTAGCACCCAATTTGGTAAGTAAATTACATTTTGATGGAATATTTAGAATTCAATAATAATTTTATTAAAATACTTGATTTTTTTTTTTGTAAATGAAATAATAAAAAATTAGAAATTATTACAATATACCATGGTAAACATTTTAGAAATGCTTGATGATGAATCCAAGTCTGCTCATTATAATAAAATTGCTGGAAAAAAATGCAGCTGAACTCAAGGATATAGAAGAATTGTTGTTTGAAATTTTGAAGCAAATATATTCAGATGATGAAAATGACGAGTATCAAGAAGGTGCAATGGCCTATGTTGTATTAAGGAACTTTGCAACCTATGATTTGGTGGAATTTATACCTGGACCAAGTCTCAATTATACATGAAGTCAAAACTGTTTCGACCAGTTGCAGATCTGATTGAAATAGGGTCAATTGAATTGAAACATGAGGATAATAATGTGATAATAATTTGCCTCATCACAAAAGCTGATCATAGAACTAATTGGAAATTAAATGGTAAACTTTTCCATTTAACCTATTATATGTGTGTTTTGATTTAACACTTCATCAATATTATTTAATCATTATATAAATATCTATTTAGGTGAAAAATCAACATTTGAAAATATTCAGAGTACAGTTGGATCTTTTAATATAAAAGTTGATAATAAAGATTTAAGCAATTAAAAATATTTATGATGTAAAAATGATTGTAGGATTAATTTTATCCAAGGAAAATATAAATATGTTATTTCTATTTAGTCTTTAATAATTACTTTCTCAAAACTCCTGAAAATTATAATGTTTATTATTGCCACAAAAACATATTAATGATTGGCAAATTTTTGCAGTTATTTCATGGATCATGAATTAATATTATAATTACAATATTAAAGTATTTGAAAGTGTTATGATATTTGAAAGTGTTATGGATATTCAAATAAGAATTGAATATCATTTCCATAAAATTATGAATATTCAAATATGGAGTTAGAGGAACACTACTGGGTCCATGCATTTTCTGTATATAAGTTCAAGATGCTTTAAACAAATGCTTAATTATCATCATCTCTGAATTTAACATGCTTATATATCTATTTGGTTGATAATTCATATAAATATGTATAAAAATCAGATGTTTTGAATTGGCTGTGTTAGATTGAGTAGAGTACACTTTGTGCAGTGAGTATAGTACAAACCATTTTTAATCATTTTTAGTAATGATAATTGTACTTACATGCCTTTTTTGGGCTGGGTGTGTGAGACTTATAAATTGTACTTACTGTACTCAATCTAATTCTACTTATGTTTGTACTATACTCACTATACAAAATGTACTATATTCAACCTGCATATACCCGTTTTGAATCCCAACTATATGAATCATTATCATATTTGGTAATGATGATCGAAAACTAGTCTAAATTTAGCAATGATCGTGGTGCACAAATTCCTCGTGAGCATAGTAAAGTGCATGTTTTACAAAAGGATAGAACTTTACAACAAACAATTTTTTGAGAATATCTCATTATTACATTAAAAACTAAAGACCTATTCTATCCACTAATAATGCTATTTTTTTTAAAAGGTAGGACAGAAAATGACTTCTATACTTTTAAATTTGCCCAAAATTTAGGAGGTCTTTAGACTGAGCCAACTATAGTATATTATTTTTTATGTTGTGAAATTGTAAACCGTGGACCAACCAATTGCCCGTTATTATTGACCAATTAGAACGAACTTACTACGGAAGTCATGTGATGCGATCATCTTTCTATATTTATTGTAACGGTTGCGCCACACATTGCGCCACATTACACGTGTAGATCATTACATCATTTCTATATTTAACTTATCTTTATGACATAATTATTTACTTCGAATTATTAATCAAATTATTTGTATTGCTCAGTTGACCCAAATATTTAGTAACATTAGTAATTAGCAATTAGTAAGCTAGTAATACAGAAAATAGGATTAATAAGCATATTTTATTGGACAAAATATTGTAAAGGTCATGTTATTTGTAATACCTCAAGAGGTATAAAAAGGCTTGGTTTTAGACCAAGTGAGAATGATGACATGGATCATGTTAATAAAATTTATAATAATCTATAACAATTGAATAAATACCCCCCCCCCCGTTGTTAATAATTAGATAAACACATTTTACCTTATTACAAATTTTTGCATAGTTAACAAGAAAAGCCATTGTGAATTGTTTCATGGTCCTCTCTGATGATTAGTGGTTTGGCCACTAATCATTGGTTAGGAAACCCCCCATTTGATTGTTCTATGCTGCTTGTAGGGATGCCTCAAGTGGTATAGTTGTAAATATTCCTTGTAAATATTCTTTTTATTTTATTATCTTAGGCTAGTGCCAACAGTACTTAGCATTAGTACTGTAGAGTGAGAATTGTGCAATAGAGTATTTTGAGTAGGCTCTGAGCTGTGTGTGGATACAGGGAGATTTATTATATATTGGACTTTTATATTTTATCTTATATATTTATTGGACATGTCATGAGCTGTGTTTGAAATTGCACACTCACAATGTCTAGAAGATTGCAAAAAATAGAAGTTTCTGGTAAAAATAGTCAGTATTTAGTAAAATATCAGCATTTAAAGATTGGCAACATTTTGTGATGTCTTTAGATTATTGGCACTATATTAGAAAGTTTTACTCCTTATATAGAATATAACTTATGAATTAACTTCTAATGGTTCTCATTATATGAAGTTGTAGCTATTTCGACCATTTGCAGATCTGGTTGAAATAGGGTCAAAATAAGGTCAAAACTGATTTTTACTATGTAGTTGAAACATTGTTTGAATAAAATTTAAAACTTTATTAGCACTTTCTAAAGTATCACCAATACTAACTTTTTCTTCAATAATATTTTCTTTGACTTATTTTTTTCCATTGATATTTTTTCTCAATATCTTGTTTGTGTTTTTCTTTAGGGTGAGAATTATAGGATTTTTGTTTTCGTGTAACAGGCGATTTATCATTTATATGTATGATAAATATATATATTTTTAAAAATGTCAAAAATGGAAAAAAGAAAATACCTTTTGAGAAGCTCATGTTTAATGAATCTACTAAAGTTAACACTGCTAAGCCTATTATATCAGTTCAAGAAATTATATTAATAGGAGAAACAACACATCTAATGTCAGTGATTCCTTTCACCCATTAATGTATATAATGGCATTGAACTTGGAGAAGTTGTAATTCACACCAAAAGTAATAACATTGACAAAATAGTTCCATTAAAAATTGGTGAAAATAGTAATTATAATAATAACAATGATGGATGGATTTGTTTTATTTTTATTTTACTTTTTTATTATTATTTATTTCTAATTGATGCAAATCAACAATAGTAGCCAAAATTATTTGGTAAAGACAAAACCAATTTTACAGCCATGATCTTCAATGCAAGTACCATCCATATAGAATTAAACAATCAATTGAGAATTTGGTAAAAATGATATTTTTTGTTTATGCTGAAATAATAAATTTAAAGAAAGAAAACAAAGAAACTAGAATCAATCTTGTAAAAATTGATCAGAAACTAATTTAAATTTAAAGAATTATCAAATAAAATTAGAGAAAAAAATATTTATATTGCTTAAAACTTTTTGGTTACATCTTGGTGGGAGATAATTACCATGTGTATATTTGTGCATTTAATTTATGATAATTTATAAATTCCTATCAAGCAATTTATGAAAAATAAAATTTACCAAACTGAAGATGAATTAATGGATGTGTTCAGAGATGTGCTAAAAGCACATAATTCTGAATGTTTAAAAAATGAAATGTGATCCTTGCATACATTATATATAAATTTTTTATTTTTATTGTGTGAATGTAAACCTTATTGTTATGAAGGTATGTAAAATAGACTCTATTTTACATACTAGGGGTTGGCACCGTTAACCGTTTAACCGTGGTTAACCGGTTAACTGCAATTAAACGGTTAATCGGTTAAGATCTTTTTTTAACCGGTTAATTCTTTTTGATTAACCAGTTAAAATTAACCGGTTAAATTAACCGGTTAAC